TTTTGGTATGATACGGCGATACAGGAGACTCTACCATTATTTAATATAACCTAAAGTTTGAAGGAAAATTCTTGTCAATTTTCTCCACAATGAATTTTGTAATATATGAATTTATATTAGGCGACGGATATATGCAAGCCTATTTTTTTATTAGTTCCAGACCTCCAACATAAAAATACTAATTTACCCTTAATGAAATTCAAAATCAAATAAAAAATATAAATTATAAAAAGAAAAAAAAATCGGCGTTACAACGCCGATTTTGACTTGTAAAGTCGGGGTTGTGTCACCGATTTGGTTAACAAAAATCGGCATTGTGATGCCGATTTTTGTGTACAAAATCGGTCTGGATAAACCGATTTGGGAAACCAACGAAAACACACAAAAAAATCAATCTCAATCTCAATTTTTTTCCAAAATCGGCTAAAGCATTGCAACCCAACAAGAAGTAAGCATAGATTAATGTTCATCCACGCATATTTATCAAGAATCGATGCTCGATTAATGTTTTTGAATTGACAAACAAAAGTTTAGTAAAAATGACTTGTTGGTGGTGGTGGGGTGGTGGTGATGGTGCGGTGGAGGTGGTGCGGTGGGTGGGTCGCTGGTCGTCGCTGGCGCGGTGGAAGTCTCGCTGGTCAGTGTCTCGGCGGTCTGGTGGCGGCAGTTGTGAGTTTTTTCTATTTCTTTTTTTTTTGTTTTTTGTTTTTTTTACTTTTATTTTTTATTTTTTGGTTTTGAACAAATTAAAAATAGAGTTTGTTTGTATTTGGGTATTAATTATTGATAAGGGTATATTCGTCATGTTTGGTCTTGATATAATAAAATTAAATCAATTTACGGGCTTGAACTAATAAACTCCTTTATGTGGGTTTGAACTAATAAAAAAAATAGGCTTGCATATATCTGCCGCCTTTATATTGTTTGATTGTGTTTATGTATTTGTTGAGCTAAACATTACATATTTATCTTATAACGCCGCATGACTAGGGGTGCAAGTTGGAACGGAATTTCCAATTTATGCCGGTTCCGATTCGAAAATTTTCGATTTTGGAACAACTTTTTTCATTCCGACTTCCGAAATTCCAATTTCCAAATATTTCTGATTTTTTTGGATTGGAATTGGAATTATATAAAATAAAATTGGAATTTCCGATTTCCGATCCGATTTTAATTCCGGAATTAATTCTGAAATAATCCGATTTTTTTCCTAAAAATACACCTATAAATAATATATATTATATAATATTTATTTTTCTGAAAAATACAAATGTAAGTTTTGTTTTAGTATTTTGACATAATGAATTGTTGTTAGAAGTTTTATTGGATATTATGTTGTGTTTATCTTCATTTATTTTTTCAACTGAATTTAGTAGTTATTAGTTTTACTTTTATCGACGTGGATGTTCTTATTTTTGAAATATTATGAACATTTTAGAAAATCTCGGCTAAGTTTTGAAATTTTAAAGCTTTTGTGATTTCCGATTTTTTTCCGAAATTCCGAAATTTCCGGGCCTTTTAGAATTGGAATGAATTTTTAGATTCCGAAAATTTTGGAATTGAAATTGGAATTGATTTTGTACTTCCGAATTTATATATATATATATATATATATATATATATATATATATATATATATATATATATATATATATATATATATATATATATATATATATATATATATATATATATATATATATATATATATATATATATATATAACATATATTTGATGTGAGAAAATGTAAGAAAAAATCTTGTCAATTTTCACCACAATGAATTTTGTAATATATGAATTTATATTATTTGATTGTGTTTATGTATTTGTTGAGCTAAACATTACACATTTATCTTATGACCCCACATGACTCAAATTTTTACATATGTGTTCGGTTATCCCATATATATATATATATATATATATATATATATATATATATATATTTTTGATGTGAGAAAATGTAAGAAAACTTAGTATTAACATAAAGTGTTAGAAATAAAAATATTATAATATATAGATTTATTATAGGAAGAATAGAATTGAAGAATGACAGAATGAGTATCTCTCAAATATATTATTGATATATTTATAGTACATGTAGGAAATCCTAACTGATTACACAATGAAACTAAGGGACACACATGCCAAGATTACAAGATATATATCTACAATAATAATAAGACGAATTAATAATCGGCTAATACAGTGGCGGTACCAGGGGGGGGCAGGGGGGGGGCAGTTGACCCCCCAAGAAAAAAAAAAAAATTTTTTTTTAGCTATTTTGACCTAATATTTTTTGAATATTACTTTTGGCCCCCCCAAAGATTTTGTAAATATGTGTCTTAATCTTAAATTTTTTGTTTATTCTCCGTAATTTTATATAAATTATAGATATATATGATATTATAGATATGTGTCGTAATTTTTTTCGCAGTATAAACCTATTTTTTCAATGTTTTGCGAACCTAAAATTTTTTTCGGGGCGTTGCCCCGAACCCCGAAATTTTAGTCAGCCCCCCCTACTTTCTAATCCTGGTTCCGCCCCTGGGCTAATACGACCTCGCAGTCGAAATGGGATTGGAGAGGACGTGAAGAGTGGATACAAAATTTCAAAACAATTGAGTCGGTAGTCCTTTCGTTAAAATATCGGCAAATTGGTAAGTGGATGGCACATGTAGGACCCGAACGTGCTCCAAGGCAACTTTATCACGAACAAAGTGAATATCAATTTCCACATGTTCGGTACGAGAGTGTTGAATAGGATTGCTGGATACGTAGACAACACTGACGTTGTGGCAATATATGATGGTGGCATTCGAAGGAGGCAGATAAACTCGGAAAGAAGATTGCGTAACTATGTTGTTTCAGCGACGACATTTACGACAACCCGATATTCGGCCTCCACGGTAAATAAGTTCGGAGTGGGAGGAAGGACGAGAATTCCACGAATATAGAGCATGATACGCTTAGAGCAGCTATATGAGATTCCCGCGGATCATGCATAAATAAATAAACATGTTTCACATCACAACAAATATCAAAACCAGTAAAAGTGATGTATTACAGTGCGCCGACAAGGCTACAATAAAGAGTAGGGTCAACAATATAATGGGGGGTCCAGTAATCGATGACAACTTGTTCTTAGTATCTACCGGTGTGAGGCAAGGATTCCAAGAAGTCATAGGCTCGTGC